CCATTTAAAGTCTCTGGAAATGGTCCTAAGAGCAAATGGCAAATGAAGAAACATCTATTTAGGAAAATCTACAAAAATTCAGTAAAAGAGGCAAGAGTTTATGGCATTTGAACCGAGCCTGCTCCCTCCTTCTCCCAGAGAACCTCTGGTGGTGGAGGGGAAGAGTCTACTCCAGACAGCTGCAGCCAAGAACTTAGGTCTCCCTCTCCACCTAGCTCCCAGCTGGAGGGGTTTCTTCTCTGGAGGAACAGGACATCAGCATTCCTCATCCAGTCCCCAGCTGTATGGTGGCTGAGGCTAACTCCCTGCGGAGTGCAGCTGAGGAGTGGGGACTCCCTTCTTGGCTCCGACGTGGAGCCTGGGCTCTCACTTGAACGTGGCATACTGAGAATGCTGGGAAGACAGTCTTTCCCTGGCTCCTGAGGCAGTGGTCCCACGCCAGGAGAGGTGAGCAAAGAGGACCTCACACCCCACCCCCAACCCTGCATTCAGCTCCTAGAGCAGGAATGTTTCAGAGAAGCTTGCCATCATCCTGAGCTCAAGAGGACAGGCTCAAACAACTTCTACTCTCTCGTCACTTGCTCTCGAGAACAATGAGGGAAAGTTGTGGTGAAGGCGATAGGGAGATTCATGGATCTAACTGCCTAGACTGCCCATGGACTAGTTTGCAGGAGAGAACCAGGGAAAAAGAGCTGGAAGGAGTCTTCCTGGGGTCAGAACAAATATCGGGGACCTAAGAAACCACTCCTTAAAAAGGAGTCATAATTTGATTGGATTTGTTTGCAGAGCAATTTATACCACTGGGGAAATTGTTGAAAACAGGAGAGCCGTCAGTCAGCTGGCAGTTAGTGGATGTGAACAGCTGGGTGTGGTCAGGAAAGGAGCTGAAGAAATCCCTACCTCTACTGCTGCCTTCTTGGGGTGACTGTGGACATACCCAAATCTGTACCTCTCAGAAGAGGGACTTCTCCGCTTAACGTCTCAGTGTGGAGGGAGTTGGGGGGGATAGGCCTCACTAAAATAATCCAGCTAGTCACTAAATAAACAAGCAATAACTCTGGCGGCAGGGGCGGAGGGGGGGGGACTACCCACAAGTTGCTACAGTGTATTATCTAAAATGTCACGTTTCCAACAAAGAATTAGGAGGCATGCAAAGAAACAAGTACAGTAGTCCCCCCTCATCTGCGGTTTTATTTTCCCCAGTTTCAGTTACCCGCAGGCAACCACATCCCGCAGATGATCGTCCTTTTGAGGTACCGTAAGAAGGTCATTAGTAGCCTAAGGCTGCATCACTTTGCCTGGGCACTTCATGTCATTGTGTAGGCATTTTATCATCCCACATCATCACAAGAAGGGTGAGTACAGTTCAGGAAGATATTTTGAGAGAGAGACCACATTCACATACTTTTATTATATTGTTGTAACTGTTCTGTGTTATTCGTTATTGTTGTTAATCTCTTACTGTGCCTGATTTGTAAATTAAATTTTATCAGAGGTACGTTATGTATAGGCAACAGACATAGTGTATATAGGGTTCGGTACTCTTTCGTGGTTTCAGGCTTCCACTGGGGGCCTTGGGACACATCCTCCGCAGATAAGGGGGAGCTACTATATGACCCATTCATGGAAAAAAAAGCAGGGAACAGTAACTGCCTGTGAGGAGGACACAGATTTAACAGAAAAAGATTTCAAAGTAGCCATTATTGAATATGTTCACAGAACTAAAGGAGAGAAAGTGTGATTTAGAAAGTACAGGAAGATAGGACGACGATGACATAAAAGACACAGCAATGATAAAAGGAACCAAATGGAAACTCTGAAATTAAAAAATACAACAGTTAAAATAAAAATTTACTAAAGGGGCTTAATAGTACATTTGAATTGGCGGAATAATTAGTTAACTTGAAGGTAGAGCTATTGTTCAAAGATGAAGGCAAAATAAAGACTTCCCCAGATAAACAAAAACACAGAATCTGTTGCTAGCAAACCCACCATACAAGAAATACTAAAGGAGGTTCTTCAGGCTGACAGCGAGGAACCCCAGATGGTAACACAAATCCACAAAAACATAGAGCACTGCTAACAGTAAATCTGTGATTATAGAAGACGCTGTAAGTGCATATTTTGTTCTCACTGCTTCTCTTAACTGATTTAAAAGGCAACTGTATAAAATAATGTGGATGTGATGTAATGTAATGTTGGACCTATAAGTAATATATTGGACCTATATGTAATATATTGCCAATAACTACACAGAGGAGGTGGGTGAGAGCAAAGCTGTAATGGGCTAAGGAAATAATAACAAATGGTAAAGCAACAACTGTTACAATGTATTATTAGATTTGCATCATTATTATACGTAATACATATTATAATAATACCACAAAAAAGGGAGACAGGGAATAGAGCTCTATAGGAGGAACATTTATATCTATTCCTTGAATTAAACTAGTATAAATCTGAAGCGGATTCCGATGTAGATGGTAAGCTTTAAAGCTTTCACTAAACAAACCCTCAAAAAATCATTAATGAGATAAAAATGTTACATTAGAAAACTATTCACTCAGTGCAAAAGAAAGGAGGAACAGAGGAACAAAAAAGAACATGAGACATAAAAACAGAACTGCATTTAAAATCGTAATAGCTGACTGCTATGAAATCTAAGAATGTCAGTAATACTTACTTCTCAAACCACAGAGTGAGATTAGTGGTATGCCGGATCATTTTTAGAAGATTAGGAGAATTAATTTCTTTGTCTTCTTTTGTCCACACACTTCCAACTAATTCTGATGGCTGTACAGCTCTAAAATCAAGACATAATTCTACATGATACTTTCCCTCTAGCATGCTGTTTTCTTAAGTAAATGAGGTAAATAAAACTAACCTCCCATCTAAGCCTTCTTTTTACACCAACAGAAAGGTTTATGAAAACAAGGTATAACAAAATTTTACAATTATGGGTATTTTTCTATAGATCAAAACAATATTTTTATGCATGTACCTGTGTACTTATCACTTTATAATAGTATTTTGCTTTTGGCAACATTGGGATTTTCTCATAATATCTTTCCCAGCACTTATGAATATTATCTAATGAATTAGGGTGGCATTTAATTCGGGATAGTTCTTTTAAATAATGATATCTGTTATAATGATCAGTTCATCGAGGATATAGTAATCACTGCAGTTCATAAATCTTTTTTTTTTCCCCCTCTAAAGGAAAGATCTTGGGAAATAAATAAAATCGATTCTAACATTAGTTTTTGGGAATAGTGAGGATCTTTGGAGTGGACAGAGATCTATAGATTTTTTTTTTTCATTAGTTATTAAAAAATAGTTTGCAATTCTAACTTCTAAACAGTCCCCATTTAAAATGAGAAATGGACTTTCTGAGACAGTAGTTATGTCAATGTAGAAAAACTCAAAAAGGCTGTGACTCACAACAGCCTCAGGAATAGGTACTATTATTAGCCCCATTTTAATCCTGAGGAAGCTAAGGGACAGAGTAGTAAAAGTTAAACAAGAAGGCTAAAGTTGCCCAAGGATAGCAAGCCAGCAATTGGTAAAGCCAGGATCTGCACTTAGCTTTACCAGCTAGGAGTGACTACAGACAGAGAGAAGCTCTAAATCCAGGCAGGGCAGGGGGATCAGGGAGTGAAAGAAGGGGAGGCCTTCTGTAATAAAAGGCTTTATTACTACACACTTCATGTACTAGCTCATTTAGGTCTTATAACATTCCTATAAGGCAGAAACCAGTATTTCATTTAAAAAATTAACTCCTTAGAAATGATTTTTCAGCTTGAATGTCAAATTACATACCGATATAGATCTGATTCAAGTAAAGTGAGTTGTCGAGCAATTTCTATTGGGTGTAAGGTGAGCAGGTCAAAAGTCTCTATGTGCCCAGGCCTGCTTATATGCCACTCAACTGTGGGAGGTGAACTCTGAAATGTAATATTATGACCTGGTCCATTGTCTCTTGCAATTTTTTTCCTTTGGATTATTTTAGTGATGGATTCAACCCATTTTTTCATTGCTTTACCTGAAATACATTACATTTTAAATAACATTTAAAAACTTTTCACTCGATATTTTATCCTTTTAAAATATTTTAAAATCAGACAAGTGATACTTAAATATATCTTTGCTATTACAAAGTTCAAATGATAAAAATAAAAAAATGTAAGTTCCCCTTTACCACGTCCCTGTTCCCTATCCCAATCTCATTCTTCTTCACATGGGTAACTACTGTTAATAGTCTGGTACATATTCTTCTACATCCTTTCAAAATAAAATTAGAAAGTAATTTATTCATAGATTTTTCACCTCTATCATTCCTAACTTCAGTTCAAAATATTATTTTATAATCCTCCATAAAAAAGACATATCTGGCACACATGGGATTTATAAGGTTGGACTATACACATTCACTGTTAATCTAATTAACATTGCATCTTACAAACCAAACAGTACCAGAGGGTCGATTCCTTCATGTTAGTGTGCGTTTCTGATGTGGCTCTGTTTTGTACTATGCATGAAAGTACTCTTATTTAACCCTTTATTTTCTGATTCTCATTTAGAGTACACTTTGGACATTAGAAACAAGTTTGTCTAGGACATTCTTAGACCGATATGATCATAGAATCTTTAAAACTCGAAGGGAAACGTTGGCATCATTGAGTCTTGCTTCTTATGTTACTGATGAGGAAATAGGAGTCTACAGAATCAAAGTGGTTTTGCCCAAAGTCATGTATCTGGTGAGTGGCAGTGTTCAGAACAGAACTCTTGTTTCTTGGCTTTCAATCCAATCTGCTCTGCGGCTTCTCTGATACATGCTCTATTCCCCTCACTGGGGCCCAGTCCGTCTCCAGCAGTGTTGTTCTGATGGTACAGCAGTTGCTAACTGTCCTCTGATACATATACCTTCAGATAAGTGGAAAAACAGCATAAACCGAGACTTTTTCTGTCCAATTCCAAAATAATCACTACACTGATTTACTAAATGAAAATACGTTTGGGTCAACAGGGTGATTATTGAGCAATTTGTAGGTCAAAATGTTGTTTGATGAAAATTTTCAGCTTTTTCAAATGGTTGTGCTGCCACTGTTATAAACAACCCTTAACAACACTGAACAATAATGACATCAGTTGACAGTCACCATATTGGTACTTTTATTACATATAAAACTGAGCACTTAAAAAAACCATACCTCTCACTGTTCCAATAAATTCTTCCATTCGCTGCAAAAGATCTGCATCCCTTTCAAAATCATAGAAGTGGTGCTCTACCCAATGCCGACATACATTTAATACTCTATGGCATTAACACAGAAGAATGACTGAATTACATGGGAACTCACACATAGGCGTTTACCGTGATGAATTGTATAAATTAAAACATAAGAAATAAAAATTAAATAATTTTATAAGTGGCTTACCACTTTCAAAATCCTATGTTAATTAAGACTTATACAATAATTTCTGATAATTGCTCTTTATTTCACTCATTTTACTTGCTACCTCCTGCTTGCTTGGGAAAGATCCTTATTTACTTCAACTCTGAAACAAAAGTTCAATACAGACTTCATCACTTCAGTTATTTTGTTACTCTTACCGCAGCTGTACAGGCTGTATGTATTCTTTTCTAAACCTTTTTAGTTCTGCACTCAAGGGCTGATCTCCATTCTCTATAGCTATGCGATCAGCTTCTGTTGGCTCAGGCTCTGGAATTTCAAACCTAACATAAAACAGAACAAACTAATGAAAATACTAATAACATCAAATTAAACAAACAGAAAACTACACCCCTTTTCACTAGTCAGCACAATCCAGAGAGCACTGTGAAGATTACTACAGATACACATGTGCATCAGTGAAAACAAGGCTTCTATAATATAAAGGTTAATGATCTTATTTTAATTTTTAAAAAAGAAATTAATGCTTGCCAATATAAAAAGACAAGAAACATAATAAAGGATTAAAAATACATGCAAAGTCTAAAAATAAATGTGATTATAAAGTTATGGGACTGCTGTTCATTTTTGGCTTGTGTAATCACTCTGAATCAGCTAACATAACAGTTTTTAGGATAATCCTTAAAGAGTTGACTGTTCCTTGGGTGGCTGAAACACTTTTCTTGATTATGGTATTTGTTCACTGATAAGCTCCATTTTCTTCAACATGTGATATATTTGAAAAGTTCTGTTTCTTAGAACACCTAAATCATCAAAATTTAAATTTTCAGAACTTAAATTATACATTTTTATATAGTTCTTTAACTTGACTAATTCCATAAATTTGAAATTTCAAGTACTGGGTTTCCATGTAAAAAAGAATGCTTATTTTTGTACTTCAATAATCAAAACTAAAAGATTATTATAAAGATGTTATTTCTTTAAAAAGTACTCATGAACTACAATTTAAAGCTCATACAATTTATTTCTGAGAAACATACAGGATCTTGGCTCATTCTCTTTAAAAAAAAAAGGAAATTTAAACATTTTACATTAACAGACCTTTCTATTATAAGACTCAGTAGTTCTTGAGGTTTACAAAAGGATCTGTATGTTGTAAGAAATGTCCGAACAAAATTGGGATCTAAGAAGAAAAAGGAAAATTATCTTATTAAAATCTTTGATTCAGCATGATTAAAGCTATTATTAACATTTTCAAAAGGGATGAAACAGTCAATTTTAAAATTCCCAAAATGTATTGACCACATAGAATGCTTTGGACTTTATAACAAACTGCTAGCTTGAGTGCTTCCTAAATTAGTGGCAAAACCATTGTTACTAAGATTCTGTATCAACTTATTTCTTGACCTCTGTGCACTCTGACTAGCTGAACTTACTAAAGTCCTCATTGGCCACAGGAATGCAAAGGGAAGAAAGGCAAAGAGCCTGGAAACAAGCTCCCACCTGCTACCTGGATCTCAGAACATCTCCAGTTGGTTTCTATCTCCCTCATGAAGAAAAAGGCCACAGCAATAACCCATTACTTTTTCTGACATCCAGACTAGTTTATCTAGGATGTTATCTAGATTCCTTTAAATCACGTTAAGAGAGCATACAACTAGAAATTGGATCTTATAACGCTGTAGATTAAGTTAAATACAGTTTCTCAATGATTTTATTCGCCAGAGGTCTTAAAACTGCTAAAAGAAGCTTACAAATACCTGTAAGTTATTAAAACTGCTAAATGTGTGAGAATGTGGATTTGGTTCTATTCACAACTTAATTCCTTTTATTTCAAGTAGTCACGCTAAGAGCTCAGTCTCCAACCCCCTCCATGAGAGGACCTACTTTTCATTCACAGCTCCCTGAAGTAGACCAGGAGGCTGCCTGAGTGTGATCACTTCCCCAGGCCTGGCCTACTCCAGTCTCTCCTTGACACTTTTCCCCCAAGCTGTGGAGAAAGGCTGCTGTCATCAGCAATAAGAGACTGGGGCTGTCATCTTCTGCATAAACAGGGGGAGAGACATCTTCCCACAATGGGGGAAAAAAAAATCACTCCCTTCTATGACTCCAATTTCACCAAGGTCCACATTTAGTTCTAAGTCATTAAAAAGAAGGAGGGGAGAATTCATTAACTTTTTTATTGGGAGCATCCTTTTCCTATTTTACATTATGGACTGGTAAGCTCTAATTTAATGATGAATTCGTTGACAGTAGCAAGTACCTTTATTTTTGTTAGGCTTCACACTGTGGATCCTTTGTGAGGACAGTGTCTTTTATTAGCATAGGATTTACCAAGAATCACAGTTAATTTGTTTGGAAAATTTCTATTTAGGCTGATTCTGTCTGATTAAGAACGATGCTAAATTTAACCTTAACATAAAATAATGATAATATATTAAACAACCTCCCCCAAAGCAAATGCATGGATTTATCATAAAAATCTATTTCTTATCTATTGGTTTATGTGGTCATCAAGATAATGAATTGATTTAAATATCAGACAACCTTGAATTTATAATGTTTTAAGTTAAAGAAAATTCACAGAATAAAAACATACTGGTTTTATTTTTTTTTATTTTTTAAAGATTTTATTTATTTATTTGACAGAGAAAGACACAGTGAGAGAGGGAACACAAGCAGGGGGAGTGGGAGAGGGAGAAGCAGGCTTGCCGCTGAGCAGGGAGCCCGATGCAGGGCTCGATCCCAGAACCCTGGGATCATGACCTGAGCCGAAGGCAGATGCTTAATGACTGAGCCACCCAGGCGCCCCAACATACTGGTTTTAAATGCCCCTCTTCTCCTTTACTTTCCAAGTCTAGTGGGTTACTGATAAAAGTAATTTAAATATATATAATCCTTTAGTAATTTCCTCTCTGTTGGTATCTTATTGTTTGTCTTCAGTTACAGAGTTCCTCAAACGTTAAAGACTAATGTCTCATCCAGAAGAAAAGATTTTAGAACAGAAGGCTGTACAAGATTTTAAAACAGAGATTTATATCGATTTCATCACAATCCTCCCTTTCAAGAATCTACTTCCTGTTCTGCAAATCTATTTGTAAGGTGAGGCTACTCAAAATATCATATGTCTAGGAAGCAAAAGCAGTGGTCACTGTAGAGATGCTGAGCTGTCACTGAGGGAGAGTGAGCCCAGACCCTTAGTAGAGAGGGTTCCAAGTAGCCCTGGGCCGTATTCTAAATTTAGATTGGCCCCTCCTTTTTTTAAAGGAAAAGTTTATTTCGATCTAGAAGTCTAAAATCAATATTCAGATCCATTTCTCCTCAGATGCCACCTAAGTTAGGCTAAAAAGTTACGGGATATCAAAGGTACTTTTAAATTGAAAAACAGAATAAAAGCAAGTTCTAAGTGAAGTTTTTTGTTTTTTTTTTTTTAAGAAAACATCCTTTTTTTTTAAAAGCAAACTACTTTAAAATGGTCCTTTCATCTTCAACCAAAACGTCTGGTCACTTCGGTACCTTAGTAACTGATGACAATGCTGGGAAAGTCATGATATGCCTCGGTGCTACATCAGTCACACGGGGATCCTATCAACTCCTGATCTCTGTTACGTCGCGTTCTCAAAGGGCACTCACATAATTGATTCCACATGACTGCTGTGAAGGGGGTGGTGCTGAGGATGTTTTTCCTTTCTACATGAGAGGAGGAGCTAAGACTTATCCAAGGTCACACAGTAGAGTGGCAGAGATGGAACCAGAAGCTAGATTGTGCGATGCCTAGTTTTATGCTTTTTTCTACTGTATCACATAACCTCTCTGGATTAAAGGATCCCTTCAGGTTTCCACAGCTGTGACATATAAATACAAAGAACAATTCCATGAGTTATGTAATCATTACAGAAACTGAAATAAATGATTAATTGCGAATGTAGCTGCAAACGGCTAATCCGGTTACCGGCACTAGAAAGTCATTGAAAAATCGGCCGTCTAACTGTGATTCTTTAATTCCTGTCAAGCCTTCTTCCAGATTTTAGGAAGTAGCAGCTGTACCGTCCTGCACACTGCATTCAGCAGAGGAGTGAGTGAAGCGGGCAGCGTAATAAACACTCCCACACTCATCACTGTTGTCCTAAATTCTAACGTGATTCAAGTTTAAGTTGTTTTTAGCTTGATTAGAAATAAGAGCAGTCTTGCCAAAAAGAAAAAAACCAGCAGAAGCTAAAAATAAACCAAGAAAACTTGGCCAAAGTTTAAGGACCTTCAAAAAATATCTTACAGGCTGCATATATTCCCAGGCTTGTATTGATTTAGACTCCACTTTTAGTCTCAAGTGGTGCAAAACTGCTAATGAATGAAAACATAACATCTGCATTTGAGGCCATAACATTTGTATTTGAAATCTTACACAAAAAAGCGTACGTATTCCAGAAGCTATTTTTATCTCTATTAATTTCCCCCCTTCAGTGATTCTCACATGTACTATGTCACACTAACCCCTGGAAACCTTTATCTTATGGATGATGTGAAGGACTAAGATAATTCAGTATTTTGAAAATACTCACCAATCAGCACAGATTACCTAATTTTGTAAGAAAACAAAGCACTAGCTACTTACATCCCTCAGGCAATGGTAAAGGCTGAGTGTTACCCTGGCCCTGCTGGTTGTGGGGCAGCAGTTATCTACCTGTATCATAAAATGATGTTTCAGAGACAGATGGAAGGCAAACACGTAAAAATACAAAAGCCAGGTCGCTTTGGTTTTAGAACATAAGCATGAATACTTGTGGAAAACACAAAAATTGGCTATTTTGAGAGTCTCTTTCTCTTTCTGTTTATCACTTGCTTGTGGATGTAAATTCCACAAACCTCTTTCTCGAACATAACCCCACGGGAATTTCAGTATGAGCAATGATAAAAGCTTCCCTGTGGTTTTTCTTCATTATTATTTCTACCAGATTCTCAAATCCCTGCACGAAGATTTCCACCAAGCTTAGTAGCTGCTCTGCTTCCTTCCCTCCATACAAACAGCTGCCAACTCTCCCATCAAATCCCTGGTCCAGGTTATTTCGAACAGGAGCTGCAGTGACTTTTTTCTGCTGTGTTGTCTCCTTCACTTGAAAACTGTTCTTTGATAATACTTCTCTGCACAGTTCTTCAAAATCTTAGGAACTCAAAATATACCTAGGTTAATGTTCAGAAGACAGCATGCTAACTTTGAGGTGATAATTCAATCTTTTTTTCTTAGGTACCTATTTTGATTGACACTTGACATTTTATTTGGCAAGGTCAATGAAAATTCATGAAATATTTGTTACATGGAGTTATTTATGTCAAGAATGCCCCTCCCCCACTCCCATAGTGAACCACTGTTAATCAGGATGTCTGTTCATGTGATAATTCTCCCTTTAATACAGCCATTTAAAAAGCCACAAGAAACAATAAGCTTCTCAACAAGGATTTATAAACAATCACTCTTGAATTCCTTAAAAAAGGAAACAGACGCTATGCTGACGCACAAACACTTAAAAAAATTATCAGAGAGTTTAAAAATAGAACAGCACTGCCCTATAGATCAAAAATTGTTCAAAAGATTTTTTTTAAAGTTAAGACACACAAACTGAATTTATAGAGGCCACAGACTCAAAAAAAAGCTAATGCAGGTTTCTGAGGATTTTCTGAGGGCGTAAAATAGCAACAAATACTTTAAAGAAAACTATCAACCAGCTAACATTTTTTTCAATACCATTTTCTAGAAAAGAGTTCACCACACATGGGAAACACCTTTTTCCCACACTTCAATATGAAAAGCTTGTATTTGCATAATATCAGTTCTGAATTTTCCCTGCCTCAAGGACACCTCATTTCTCTAAAATAAGACTATCAAACCAGACACACCATTACCAAACATTTCTTTACTCATGTTGTTTTAAGTCTCAATAATTAATTTGTACTTTATTTCCTTCCTGTAACTCTGAAACAGAAGTAAAATTCCTACTCTCATCTCTTCTTCTTTACATATATTGCTTTGTGGTCCTGTGGTAGGTAAGGAAAATCTCTTCATATTCTTGCCAGATTCAGAATGACCTGACTAGATACTGTCCCCTCTCCAGCATTTGAAATGGATGCCAAAGTTCTGATGCAGTTAGCAAATTAGTCTATGTCCAGAAATACTGGATCTGAGAGACAAGCTATAAATCAGATTCCACATAAGACCCTGTTGCAATCTTTTTTTCTTTTTAAGTGACAGTTAATTATTTTCTAATTTACCTAAATTTAACTTTTTCTCCCAGAAAGCTTTCCTTTACAAATACCACCAGTAGACTGGGTTTTGTTAAAATTTAAAATTATGATGCCCAATATCTAACTGTATACTAAAATCTATGCATTAAAATGGAAGTTTATCTATTATTACCTATTTCAATAAGAGAAAAAAATTACTCTGCTTAAATCTTCATAGTAAACCTGTGTTTGCCCAATAAGAAACAAGCCATTTATATTACTGGCAATTCAAACCAACCAGGAAATTCTCTTTATTTTTATTATTTGATACACATAATAAAAAATATATTTTAATAATTAAAAAAATTTGCCTTACATGAGTCACTGTAACATGGTGAAAAGTACAGTCTATTAAGAATCAAGAAACCTAAGTTTTAGTCCTCATTCTGCAATTAATTGGTATGATTTCTGGAAAATCATATAACTTTCAGGGGCCTTGGGTTTTTGTGTATTAGTTGAGGGATTGGTCCTGTGTCTAACACTGCAAATCTATAGCTGTTTCAAAATTATTGTTAAAAACACCTGAGGGATCAAGTTGGCTAAAGCCACAGTGAAGTCTGAATTAAGTAAGGTTAAACCAGTTTTTCTTCTGTTTTTATGACAATTTCTGAACAATCCATAACCTAAAAAAATGTAAGTGGTGCTTAGTGGATATTAAATTTTCTCATATATTACAGCCAATGTCTTTTATTATAATTCTGTACAACATAATAAAAATGTGCAAGTTATATTTTAGCCTTTATTTCAGCCCATTTTGCACTGAATGTTCTCCAATAAAAATATCTATCAACCAACTGAACCGCTCCCCCCACTACCGCAAAAAGAGCAGACCAATAATTCTAAAAATAAATGGCAACTTGATCTGTTATTATTGTAGTAAGGACTCAAAGTACATTTGAGCTGGAAGAGACCTTAAAAAATAATTGCTTTCATGTTTTACGAGTTCATAGATGATCTATTAAAAACACATTCCATATTGCCAGTAACACGTTCAGTGACAGACCTTACAGAAGAGCCCAAATAAACTAGTAATTAATACTAATTTGTAGGTATTGTGAACCACAACTCATGACAGCTGCTTGTGTATTCCAGTTACACCAGTAATATACCTTAATGACCTATGTTAAAATATTCAATTAAGCTTCAAAAGAAGACAGAAAAGAAAAATGTAAAAAAAAAACTTGGCCACATTTCTAAAACTGGCATTTTATTCCTCAAGAAATTAATGAAAGGAATTTTTGAAAAACTTTTATTTTTTAAAAAAGTAAAACAATCTTGTCAATTTAAATGTGAATATACTTAACTTTGCAAAGTCCTATAAATCTAGAAATTTCAGTGTTTTATACTAACTAGAAGTAAAACCATTTAAAATGCCATTCTATTCAAAAGCTAAAAGTTTATATAAGTAAGAGCAACTATCAAAAGTAATAAGACATCATGGCAAAAGTACTATTCTACAGACTAGGCTAGCATCGTGTACATTAAGGAGAAAAACTCCAGAGACTCCATAAAAACCCTCAGCTATGTTTGTTCAAGTTTTGTTTTAAAGTGTCCTCATTGAAAAAATAAAAAGCACAGTTCCCAGAAAATATTTAATTGTAGTTCTGCAACTGCTTATTAATAAGTTAGTTCTGTGAAATGCAGCAAGCAGTTTAAAAAAAAAACCTTTATCATCAACAATCAAGTTTTACAGAAACAATTATATTAAAAAATTTGGAATCTGAAAATGCTTTCCAAGTCCAATACTACTGACGTGTGATAGTAAACACTAGTGAGTCTTCTTCAGCACTTTCCACTTACACTGCTCTATAGGAAAAAAAACCCCCAAAAAACAGTAAAACTTTTGTCTTATGTAGATAAAAATCCAAGGATTAATTTTACTCTAAACAGTCTAAGAACTCAAAACAAAGGTATTTAATTTAAAAGGATGAACGGTTTAGAATGCTTATGCTAAAGAAATCAGTGAATCTTCTAAGACCCTTAAAAATCAGAATAATGTGGCAAGAAGAGCAATCTGAGCTTGTATAAATACCTTAAAAATTCTTTAAAAAGCAAAGAAATAAGCATTTTGCAACCACAAATTTCGAGGAATTTAATGAACATTTTTGTAGTTGTATTCTAGATATTAAAGAGTATACAGAAGTTGATGAAGATCACAAAATAGGTTGGTCATATTAATTGCTGATAATTGTACCTCTCAAAAAGTTTTATATATAAAAAAGATACCAGAATAATCTATTTCTTTTTCATGTAAAATCCTAGGCAGCTTATTTAACTTTCCTGTGCTTTGTTTTTTCATTTTTGAGTCAGTAAAATGAATACACTGACTGCAGAAGTTTCTAGGTGAAAAATCAATAGTAAAATTGGAATCCCAGACTAGTCTTCTTACACTATCTTCAACATGTTTCAGCTACTGCCTGCTACTACCAAATGGAATCTCTTTAGAGAACCCAAACTGCTTTTAATAGCCTACAGAAAACACTAATATTTTACTGTGGAAAAGGCTAGCAAAAGAACTACCAGTTAGAGGCCAAATAAAAATTAAAAACAAAACAAAACCCTGGCTTATTTATTCCAGAGACATGTGGAGATAATGAAACATTATATTCATAAAGGTGCTTTGATATCACTGATAAAAATATTCTAACTTGATTTTACTTTTTTGCAAAGAGGACCTGATAGTTTCCAGGCCATTTAAGTAGTTCTGACTGGACATTTAACAAATCAAACAGATCAACATTATCAAATGCTATTCATCTTTCTTACAGTGGATTAGTTAACAGGTATCTTTAAAAGTTTAATTTAACTGGTGCCAGAACAGCTTCCAGAGAGAACTGAGAACCTATTTAGAGGACTTTAAAAAAATGAAAAAACAAAACAAACAAAAAAATCGACCTCCCTCAGAAACACACGTCTAGAAATAGGAATATATTTAAGCAAGAAGTTTGGGATGGAGGTTAACTTTCACGTTCAACTACTTAAGAACAGCATTTATGTTATAAGAGTTACATTTGAGTTTATATGTCTTTGTAATAAAAATTCTTTGAAAGTAAGTTTACATTTAGATTTACAAAGAGTTTTCACATGTTGTAGTTCATCTATTCTTTCCAATAACATTCTAAGGTTGCTGTTGTGATGTTGATTTTTGAGATGGAAACTGAGATTCTGGGACCTTAAGGAACTGTGATAGAGTGGGGTGTAAATCCAGATTTGGTGCTCTTTCCACTATACCATACGCTACAGTATTGCCCAATTTCCAAGCTTTCTATTGTGTAGAGAAGTTGAAGGTTGAGGAACATTGGATTATCATGGGTTACTTTACTAGAAGAAATAAAATTACTTTAAAAAAAGAATCATTATGTTTGTTCCTTAACTCTCAAACATTACATTTGATTCGGCCTCTACCGATCTTCCTAAGTAGTCTGGACACGTTTGTCTCTAAAAACTGCCCTGCTAAGGTAAAATTGTTTTTTTAAATGACATTGGTTGTAAAATGCAAACAAATACTGAAAACTTTAATGACTTTCAGGATTGCTAAACTGAATTAAGTTTTAGGAATAGAAATTAAGAAAAAACAATACTGTGCATATTTGTACTACCAGCACAATTTTGGTGATGAACGTATACCAAAATTTTTACTGACTTTATAATCTCAGTAATGGAAGGAGAAGAAAGAAAAAAGAAGAAGAGGTAAAGGTTGTTAGACCCTAATGATGATGATTTACCACTACTTTTAGTTTTGTTTCTGCCACTAATTGGGTAAATTTAGCCAAGTGATTTTATTTTCTCATTTGTAATTCTGGTTGTAAAGTTAAAAATAATATGTAAATGTGGTAGAAAAAGTATAAATGGCAGTATTTTTAGGCAAAGGAAAATGAACTCGGAATAATGCGGAGGATCTTTTGTTGTTAGTTTGCTTTCTATTTTAGGCACAATGACCTGTGCAGCAAAGAAAATCAGCTGGAAGCAGGAAAATAAAAGTGACAGGCAACTTTTTATTTCTTACCTGCGTACATATGGTACGTGAGCCTCTCTATAAGTTTAATAACAGTTCCCGCTTTGATAATTGGAATTCCAGCCTTGGGCTGCATGTTTTCTTCAAATATTATATTCTCTTCAGAGTCAGGCTCTGCAAATCTATAAACATCAGCACTAGGGAGCCTCATCTGCTCCTCCTTCTCTTCCTGCAGCATCGTCACATCAAGCATCCTTTCCAGTGTACTCCGGTATTGTAAAGATATCAATGCTGCCATCCAATTGTTTTTCTCTTCAGCTGACTTGGCAGAAAATATAACACTGTTTTCATCTTTTAAAATTATTTCAAAAGCATGCTTGTACTCACTGGTGTCATCTTTGTCATTAATTTGTACCTTTCGCATGAAAAACTTTTCTTTAAGACGATATTCTGCATTGCTAGCACCAGGAAGTCTTGGCTGCCCATGATTTGATTTACAGCAAATCATTAAGCCATCAAAGAGAAATATGTGTCTCTCATGTTTGGCTCCTACACGTGTAAGAGTTCCTTCCATTATAAATTCATTGCAACACTGTCCAATGTCCTTTCCCTCCCAACCATCAATATTCTTTTGAATCTCGTTCATTTTCTTGATTGCTAGTTGTTTCCCCTTCATTTGCTGACTATAAAACCGACATGCAGATTCACTGGGATAAAGTAAAAAAAACATTATTAGTGCACAGCCGACAGACAATCTAGAATTCATGTAAATAAAGGACAATGTAAAAGTACATTTTAAAAAGTTGCACTGAGAAGGTTCTCACTAATTCTCCAAATATATTAGTGTTACAATACTGTACCATTTTAGGAACTACAGCAACATAGTAGAGACTTTTTTTAGTGCTCTAAAAAGAACAATGACTATTGACAAAATTCTACTCTATAAATTTAGCTATGGAATGATTATTTCTACCTTGGCTACTAAATATTTAGAATGACAAATATTAAAAAGTAGCCAATATAGGGAAAAAATAATTTAAAAGACTTAAAAAATTATTTAGAAATGTTTAAGTGGACAAGAGCTAAAGCTAACAAACATGCACATATTATAATTAAGAAAGTGGAAGCGATGTTATCTGAATTAACACCTCAAGTTACATAATCCCTAAAAAAAAGGACACTACGAATTTTACTTTGACAGAACGATGATGTTGACATAAATCTACTCAAGACATTTTTCTCTGTCTCTCCTTTAGCTTACCAGTTGACTCTCAGGAGGTCTTGTCTGGGAGTATGCAAGGAAAATGCACAAATATGAAAGGTTTTTCAAACAATAACAAATTCTCTTGGCTTTGATGTCACTTCCTCTGAAAGACCAAGCTTGTCACTAAAACTATTTTCTTCATTGTTTACGTGAGGAGGGAACTGGGATCCCTGAATTTATACCAGAATATTCAGGGTGAAAGAGAGGATTATTAAAAAGGTAAAAATATTCACCTCAGTCTTCGTTTTGCAAGACTTTTAGAACATATTTTTTCCATACCACTCTGAACATTAAGCAAAGCTGTTATTGCTTGTTTCAAACATTCCTTGTCTTCTTGATCTTCACTCTTTTCTTCTAACTGCTGCAAAGTCAAAATGACAAAGCTGAACCCGCAGGACAGTTTTGGACAAAAAGAATAAGCAGCTCATTTTATTCAAGAATGAAAATAACAGTGATTCAACTCTTCCTGCCACAATAAAATTTTTAGAAGTGTCATAAAATATATTCTTTTAAAAAAGCATTTTCTTCTTTATGTACTACTTTCTGTATCAACATGCAACCAAGTTTTCCACATTAAAAAAAAAAAGAGCAGAAGCAGTGTTAAAGATGTCACACCTTGTGACAGGCAGTAATGTGCAGTTTCTCAGATGCATATGACTGAAAAGAAATGAGGGACATAAATTATCTTTTTTTTTTTTTTAAAGATTTTATTTATTTATTTGAGAGCGAGAATGAGAGAGAGAGAGAGAGCATGAGAGGGGAGGATCAGAGGGAGAAGCAGACTCCCTGCTGAGCAGGGAGCCTGATGCGGGACTCGATCCCGGGACTCCAGGATCATGACCTGAGCCGAAGGCAGTCGCTTAACCAACTGAGCCACCCAGGCGCCCATAAATTATCTTCTTAACCAGCAGAGGATTTTGCACAGCAGGAAGCACACAGATGAGATTTTTTTCTCAAGCATGGAACTTGGTCTTAGGTTTCTGATTCCAACATTACCATTGTAAGAACAGGATGATTAGGAAGATAAATACACAGGGAAGGATGCAATATAGTGGAGAGGAACTTGAAGACACAAAACCTAGGACCAAATTTTGCTTCTACTTCTGTGTGACTATGGGGCAGATTATCTGACTTCTGAGTTTCACTTTTCCCAACTGTCAAATGAGGCTTGTAAAATGCCTGCCCTGCCTACTGAATGGGGTTCTTATTAAAAATCAAAGTACTTTGTAAATGGTGATATACAGTGTAAGTCTAAGTTGTTTTCTTCGTAGTTCTACTACAGAATTAACATTAGTATCATGAACTTTGTCAGTATTCACATGACAAGATTTTGAGTAAAACTAGAAGTGTACATATTAGCGAAACTCAAGCACATTTTCTGTCAGTGGCAAATATACTATATATGCTAGAGAGAAAGTCTGTACTTAATAAGGATTGAGTCATCAATAACTACGAATTGTCAATACAACAGGTGGCTATAATTCAAGCAAGCAATTAACTGAGGTATGAGTTATAACAAATGACAAGAATTCAGTCAACTTCTCACCCTGTTTCTGGCTGCCAAAGAGAAAGAGTTAAGAAATAACATTTATCAGTAGTTTTCATGCAACATTTAAGAACACTTCCTCTCTGTCATAAAGGAAAAGCCATGAGAAATAAAACCATAAAATATTCAAAGTAATTTGTAAAGGTTTACTTTTCAATGAGCATAATTATTCATTATTACTTTAAGGATTTTATGTTCTTAAGAGATACTCCTTAAAGATCAACAACACATTCCTTTCCATTTCAATTGATAAAGATCAGTTATACACACATACACGTACTGATGACTTGTGAAAAGTAAACGTATTTCTTACTCAAAGCCTAAACCATTTTATAAAAATAATTTACTTAATCTGCACTTTTTAGTCTCAATTGTGTTGTTTCATGATAATCCCCCAGAAAAAAAAGGGGAAAAATGTTTTTTTCCCAAAGGATAAAAAAACTTTTATATATATCAAAAAGTACTTAGATATCATTTACTCATAGTATTGCTCTTCAGTATGGCCAGCTAGATTAAAGGAAGTCAAGAGCCAAGTGTTCATAAAAGAAAGCTATTATGTTTTTACTTAATGGATATTACTAGTAGGCTGAAGGCTGGACTTTGGGCATGCTCTCAAAATACTCTCTATCCCTATCACTCTAAAACTACCTCTCACATGGCAGAATTTTGGGGGACTAAATGTTACCATTAACCTTACTGAGTTTGGCTTCCAAGGCAGCAATCTCACACTGAAAGCAATGTTCATTAAGAAAGGGCAAAATTAGGGGTGCCTGGGTGGCTCAGTCGTTAAGCGTCTGCCTTTGGCTCAGGTCATGATCCCAGAGTCCTGGGATGGAGCCCCGCATCGGGCTCCCTGCTCCGCGGGAAGCCTGCTTCTCCCTCTCTCACTCCCCCTGCTTGTGTTCCTTCTCTTGCTGTCTCTCTGTCAAATA